TTTTTTACATTCTTTTCATTTCTGACGGTGTTGACAAAAACTAGGGACAAATTTCAACGGAGTTGGAAAATATATAAAAATGATTTTTAATTCAATTTATTGATACTTTTATTATTTATATGAATACTTATACTTAATTGTCATAATATATTATCTTAGTATCCCTTTAATTGTTTTAAACTATTACAATGTATTGAGTTCTGCTCCAGAACAAAGGATTTTACAGGCATCATCCACCGACTACAACGTTTAAAATAAAAAAATATTCAGCAAACATCAGGAAAACATACATTGTTGTGCTCACATGACCCAGGTTAGTTTAGTCAGATATTTGAAAAAATTATATTTTGTGTATATTTTATTCAAATTTTGTGCTTTATCCATAGGACCTGTTTTGTCCCTATTCTCAAGAATCACTGATTTGTAAAAAGTGTCACCATGTCTTCACTGTATGGTATGAGACAGATAATCTGTCAAAAGATCGATATCCTCCACCTCCGTCCTCAGCTGCTATTGCCGTCTGAAGAAACGCACTGCTCCCGACCAGAAACAGCCAATCAGAGCAAGGAGGAGGGTCTTAACGTTGTCAATCAATGCTGCTAAATATGCTAATTGCAGAAAAAACAGCTAACCGTTCCAGGAAAACTGTTTATTCGCCATCATTGATGACCATGCTAACTCCACAACATTCTCTAATACAGTGTTTCTCAATTCCAGTCCTCACGACCCCCTGCCCTGCATGTTTTAGGTGTTTCCCTTCTGCCACACACCTGGATTGAATCTGTGGGTGATTAACAGGCTTCTGCAGCACTTGATGGCTGCAATCATTGGAATCAACAGTACTGGAATAGAGGCACATCTAAAACATGCAGAGCAGGGGGGCCTGAGGACTGGAATTGAGAAGCACTGCTCTAATAGGTGCATTACAGCAGAGAGCAAGTGGGGAAGGGGAAGAGGGACAAGCAACCACATGAGATTGTGCTCAACGGCGCTAAGACCCACCTCCTGACTTTGATTGGTTGCTTCTAGTTAGCGCTGGAAGAAGGCAGAGAAGCTCAGTTTTTTCACAGATATTCTATTCCATACCATACCGTCATAACATTGTGACAGTTTCAACAAATATGTAAAAAAAAAATAGATTTTTTATAAATGTTACATAGTGCAGCTTTTTTTTTTTTTAAAGAAAGTTTTTGTTGGCTCTAGTGGCCTTTATTTGAAAGTAGTTAGACAGGAAACAGGGTAATGAGAGAGGGGGAAGACATGTGGCAAATGCCGCCAGGCCGGGAATTGAACTGCGACCACTGCCATGAGGACTAAGGCCTCAATACGTGGGTCGTGCTTTGCCCCCTGCGCCACCACTGCACCCCATAGTGCAGCTTTAAGACCAAATTATTCTTTTACGTAAATAAGATATTTTAAGGCCTTCATTTTACCACCGATCCAGTTTTAAACATCTAAATAAGTTAAATATTAAGAATGTAGCAAAAAGTAAACTTTTTGCTACATTCCTGAATTACTCAATATGATCATTTAGTTTCACTAAAAACGAAAAGCTCAGGAATCTAAGCATTTAGTTATCCAGGAGTCTGTTGTGTTTGTGTTCCTACCTCTATGACAGGATCCTGACTGTACTCTTTCAGCAGTTCCACAACCACTGAATCACCAATTGCTCCAAGGGCCTCCCCTATAAGCAGACAGTGAATCATAACACACCCATTGCTTCTACCCCTTTCATGTGAATCCATCTCCTTTACTACTCTTCTCTGCTTCTTCTCAGGTAGCATGATAATCAGGTGTGGAATATTTCAATAAACCAGTACTTCTAAAACAGTGGGGGTGTGTGGTGAGGTGTCGGGGTGGGGGGCATGAGAAGCAGGAGGACTTCAAGACTGGTTATTCATGCTTGACTGATAAATAACCCTCAGGTCACTAGGTGGCAGCAGTGGTCAAATTGATGAACAGACTGCCTGTCCAAGCCAGTAGAAGAGGTAGTCTACACAGACACAATCAATGGCCCAGTCCCAATACTCGGGCTGCACCCTTCGCCCCTCTGTGAAGTGTGGACTCAGTCAAAGTGCACATAAGGATTTGAGTGTGCAGGTTACAAGCGTGCAAAAATGTGAGAATTGGGACAGAACACCTCTCTGTGTTGAAACTTCAACATCCAAAATTCCAGTCACAGTTTACGCATGTGCTGCTAATTAGTACAACTACAACAAAAACATGTTGATTTTAAATGTACAGTAAAGGTATTTTCACTTTCCAAAGTAATTGCTAGACATACTTTGCTGCTCAAATGTGCTTTGTTATGACTTGTTGAATACAGAGCATAATATTTAATATTAATATTTCCATATTTAATGTGCAAAAAATACACATTAAAATGTACTAATATTCAATTTAGCAGCCTAAAGGCAATTCCCCCTGGAATTTGACTAATAAGAGACATGATTACATATTCAGCTGTTACTCGGAAAAACCCCATCTCTTTTATGGCTAAAAGTTAGTTTGGTATAAAGTGGAGCTAATTTGCTAAGAAAGCTCAAGTTAAAGACAAACATACAACACATATATAAAAAAAATATTTTTTAAAAATTGTGAAAAATAAAAGGACTAATGGAACTAAAATGTGCTTCTTAAAATAAATTATGAAGGTTGTGACTTTATAGAACAAAAATGTTACAACAAATTCATAAGGAACTCTGAAATCAATTTTCTTCCCCTCTAGCCTGAAAATCCCCCCCAATTTGTTTAATAATCATAAATGATATATCTAAAGAAAATAAGAACCAAATAGCTTTCTATTCCACTCCCACAAAAAATTTATATATTAAATTCATAACTACAGGGTGGCCCACCAAAAAGTAGCCCGCGTTACTATAGCATTACTGGCGACCTTCAGTAAATAATTTCAAGTAAAGAACTTGAAATGCCAAAATCGTTACTCACTCTTTACAGAAAGTGTTGGAAATGATCCCCTTGTGCGTCAATGCGCCTTAACATATTGTCATATATGCGACGCAACTCTGGGGCACCAATGCACCAAATGCATTACGAATATTGTCTTTCAACTGCTGTAAAGTTCTCGGGTTATTAACCTACACTTTTTCCTTCAAATTGCCCCACAGATAAAAGTCACAAGTTGTTAAGTCCGGCGATCTCGGTGGCCACAATCCTGTCTTCTGTAAATGCCTCTCGAATTCGTGCAAGTGACACGTGTGCCGTGTGACAAGTCGCGCCGTCCTGTTGGAAGAAGGCGTACTCGCGTTCTTCCAGCGTCAACTGTCCATAAAATTCCTCAAAAATTCTCATGTACACTTTCGTGTTCACTGGGGAAGGATTCACTCGGCGTGCCAGGAAGGCAGGCTACATTTTCGTGGGCTACCCTGTATGTATGAAGGTAAATGCCCTGCAATGACTTTCTGCGAAAGAAATAAAAAAATTAATTTCTGTGCATTTTGTGACTGAGATTTTGACATAATGGACCTTTTTTCAATTACAACTTCATGAATGTTTTCAGAAAAAAATTCAAAAGTGGGTATTGTGCAAGAAATCTACTCCATTTTTAAGTTTTAATATAATAAAATTTGGTCTTCTAACATCAGATGAAGAGTTAAATTATGATATTAACAATTTATAATCCTCAGTTTTTATTAATAAATACTGTTTTCCAAAATTCACCTCCATTTTTCAAGTTGAATAACTTTATTTGAAAGAGTGCTTAAACGTTAAGATTTGAAATTTGTCTTGCATTTGTAGCACTATGTTTACTTCCCTCACAGTTAATATTAGCTATAGTGCTTGGTTTAATACCGCTATGAAAGGTAGCAGAGATTTTGTAAATCTTAAAAAGTTTTAATTATTCCCCAACATTGATTCCCCAACATTAAGAGCCTACCTTAGAAATAAAACAATATTATATATATTATTATAAATGTATAATAAAATGTATTATAATATTAAAAAAAATACACAAGTGGAAAAGACTATTATTTATATGTAATTATTTCACTCTACCAGAAGTAAGACACCTCCCAAATCTCCTGTTTTTGTTTTGAAGGATGTGAGGAAGTGGGAAATGTCTTTGGTCCGTGTATTTTCAGGCAGTTGGTTTTTTCGTTTGAAATGAAAAATGAGAAAATGAAAATAGACTTGTTTTTTCTTTTATTAAACTAAAAGCGGAAATCAGACAACGGCTCGGTCTGTGTATTTTCAGGCAGTTCGTTTTTTTGTTCGTTTTGGCTGAATATCTGATTGTATGTTATTGTAAAATAAATTTTTATGAAAACATTTTCTCTCTGTTTATTTTGTAAGATTTGAGTTTAAAGCTCTGACTACATATAGGTTGATACAAATTAAATATGAAATAATTCTTTTGTTTCTTGCTTATAAATCTAGAGATACGAAATAATGGAAAGTATCAACTCAAAAGTTGTTCATTATGTTTAATCAGTTGAGTCTTATAAGTAAAAAGTAAGTAGTCTCATGAAGGGGACAAAGGTTTTCATGTCTAACTGGACAGTCATACTTCACTTATAAAGAGGTAATTTTCCACCCCAACACGCAAACGTCCCCGTTCACTCTCAGAGCGTTCAAGTTTCACACCACATTGCTTAGGATTTACTGCTGCGCGCTTGCGCAGTGTGAAGGAAAGAGGAGACAGCTGCACACACAGGCTGCGAATGAGATACAGGCGATCAGCAACAAGAGATCGTGATCGGCGATCACCGATCATACACATTTTCACGCAAATCGGTCAATTATGATCGGTGGCCGATTGATCGGCACACCTCTAGTATTGATATTAGTAGACAAACAAATCTTGAGTGGCTGTGTGCTTTATAAAATACTCATCAGACATCAGTCTATTCTATTCTTATTCTATTCTGTTTTCCCCACTAAGAATATTTAAATATGCTAAATCGTATATCAATCCAACTCAAAAATACTTCAAAAATAAATGTCTTTGTACATGTAGCTATGAAAGCTGTTTGAATAAGTCTTTTAGCAAAAAAGTGTGAAAATCTGTTTAGTATTCAGTGAAAATAAACAGATTTAGATGCACTGATACTTCATTGCGCCTGCCAAACATATAACGTTGAGTGAAGCAGGCGACCGCTCCAAGATGGCGGCCCTACATCTCGTCAGCGACAATAGGCAAGAGCGGTCCATGAGGCGTCTGGTGTAAACCAAACTGAACTGTCCTCTCTGGGGGTCTACTTGTATCTTGTCAGTGAGTGTATTTAGTACCAGCTGATTGTTAATAAATGGTTGACAAACTATATGCCACGTATTTGACAGAAAGTTGTTACATCTCCATACCAGGTCTTACCTGCTTCATGCCTGACCATTGGCTCCTGCTTGGTATCTTTGAGAACAGCTGTAAGGATGGGGATGGCCCGTCTGTCCTGCATTTGGCCCAGGCAGTAGGCCAATTCGTGCTTCAGTAAGGCCGAATCATCAGTGAAAGCCTTGCTGATCCACTCTATGGCTTCAGCACCTGTCAGAAGATGTTCAAGTAAATCCAGATGTTCCACACATTTTAAACCTGAAGATTTGTCAGAACCAGCTGATTGGACTGGCAAATATACAGCTGAAAAAAGTATTGTCCCACACAGAACAGTTATCATTAGTAATGTTAATGTCTAAAGTCTAAAAGATAAAGTCTAAATGTTTCTGGCACATTAAACTGAACACTAACTTAAAACAGCTAATCAAAACATAACATTGTAACAATTTTCCGTAGTCCAGTAGGGTCAACAGAACGCAAAACCAACAACAAAAACTGAGTTAGCAAATGTTTTCATAACCTCCATTATGGTTTTTTTCATTTTGTTGGCCCTTCTGGACCACAGTACATTATGGAATTGGGATCCTACGCCATGAAATAACATGTTTCAGTATTTTTGATATAAAAACAAATTTAATTTTAATATTTAAAATGGCTTCTTGCGGATTTACCTCCCAGATTCCTCAAGGTGAACAGTGCTCTGAAGCGCTGCGTCAGATCCAGATCTGGGTTGACCAGAACCTGCCCTATAGCGGTCAACTGCTCCGCAGTGGCCATCCTGTAGCAGAACTGCATATCAACACAACTGGGAAACATGGTATCAGCTGTCCCAATACCTCAGAGCAGTGGTCCCCAACATTTTTATTATCGCGGACCGGTCAAGATTTGGAAATTTTGCTGCAGCCCGGGTGAAGTG